ATGGGGTAGATTGTTTATTTAGATGAACTATTTCAAATATTCTTTTACAACTTAGTTTTAATATTTAGTTTGTAAAAAATTTATAAATGTCAAAAATCTAACTTTTTTACTTCTCAAATCAAAGACAGCTAATTATTTAAGAATACCTCAATACCGTTGGAACTAATTTGCTTCTAGAGTAATTTTCTTTTCCTTTATTAGAATACCTTAAATCTCATGATCATAGCAACCATTGACTAGGGGTTTAAACAAAGGATGAGAAAATATCATTTTAACAATGTACTGTTTATTGGCCTAGTATTGCAATCAACATTCGTATAAAGAGTGTAGGGTATGTGGATGATTGGGACAATTTAAAACAAATTTAAGGAAAATGGTAGTATTTCATATTGACCTCTCCTATGTTTAAGTCTGTCTTTTAAGATCTTTAATTTTAAAAGATGTTTCTTAAATTATTTAAATAAAGGGTACGTCATGTCTGCTGACATTGAATAAGTGATTTTTACTGACATTGGGGAGGCATTAAATTGGACGCATGATTTAAAGGGAATGCAGGCCATGGCCGTTGCCGTCAGGATAAATCCACTTCCTTTCCCTTGGTGGCTGTGGTGATGTTTGAACTCACAATGATCTTCCACATTTCCTGGGTGAATTTCCTAGCCCTGCCCAAGGTCAGAAACTCCTTGTTTTATTCTCATCTTACAATTTTTTTTTAATCTTAGATGATTGGAGTACATTAAATTTTTATTTCTTCATATTATATCTCTGAAGATAGTCTTTAACCTCCTTCTTTAATCTTGTCTTATTTCCCAGGGTCCTATCTTCCCTGCATTCAGGCGTGTGTATCATATTTAGGTAGGTGACATCCAAGATTATCTTTCCAGATAAACACTTCAGTCACTTCAGCAACATAATTAGTTCCACTCATTCAGAAGATTATATTCTCTATTATTAAAATGGAGATCTTAGGCACCACATCTCTGCATCTTCATATATCCTAACTTCCCATTCATTCTTACAGTTAGCATTTTTTAATTCAAACTCCATTTCTTTTCTAAGTTAGATATATTAAATCTCTTATTTTGTCTTTAAAATGGTGCTGAGCCTTGAAAGCTACAAGCTATTGTAGTAAAAATTTGTGCTTTTTAATTTAGGTTTTCTTTCTTATCAATATCATCACCCAACACATCAAGAGTATTATTTTAAATTTTGTATGTCTTATCATCTATTCTTCCAAACAAGAATCAATCATTATTATCTTTAGGATGCATTTATAATAAACAATGTACCGTACAATGCAGAAGTACTCCTCATTTTTTTAATCATCTCTGATGTTCTGTTCTTAAAGCAATTTGTTTGCAGCACATATATATGTATCAGGCTACCTTTCTAGATTTCCCATTACAATAAACTTGATTGCGATTGGGATTTTATTTCTGATATCATATGAAACATTGGAAGATTTGTTGATAATTTTAGTAAGTGTACTAATTCTTGTATTTCTCTTTGAGGGTTGGTTGTTTGAACACTTCATCTCTTTAAAACCTTGCAGTGAATCTGCAGTTTGCATATCTGTACTTATAAAGATGTTTCCCCAGATGTTCCTTTCACCTTTACAAATATGTTTTCCCTGCCAGCGTGTTTGGTATAATGTCACACACTCAGGCCAATCCACAGTTCCTCAAAGCTAGCACTGTGTACTAGATTTGTACTAGCAATTCAATGACATGAAATGGCTGGTATATCCAAAAGAAGAGACTTGGAAAAGATATAAGATAGTAGTCGAATACCGTGAGTTTAAACAAATATTAATTCCAAGCCAAATTCAAGATTTTACAGGCTTGTACATCTGCAGATGGATTTATACACCAGTGTATTTAAATAGTTGCTCTGTTGAATATGCTTCTTTTTTCTTTTTTTAAAATTAATTTTATTGAGAAACAAATAGCAATGAGACAGTTTCAAAACAGGTTATTAAGGGGCTGGGGAGATGGCTAAGTAGAATAAGCACTTCCCTGGCAAGCGCAGGGAACTGAGTTCAATCCCTAGTTCTTCCCCCACA